ATTCCCTTTGTTTTGCTAATAAAGTGCTAGACTAAAAATGCTTAATAGTCTCTCTGCTCAGTACTGCCAGTGGCTTGGACTCCAAGATCCTATGTGCTAACCCGGTTCGAGGCGTGTCGGTGAAACTTACAATTCCTAATTTGGTGGAGCTTGGGCCTGTTACAAAGGTGACAAACTTGGCCTGCCAGAAGGGTAGTAGGCACTTGTGTAATGACAGCTGTGGTTTATTGATTGTGACTTTCGTACAGTCCCCATGAGTTCAGACTAATCATCATTGCATTATAACCTGGCATTTTCAATCACATTCGGGACCTGAACTGACAATCCAGGTATAATTGTACCTTTATCATAAGGGTTCAGATCTGTTAGTTTTTCTAGTAGAGAGCTGAATTGTGACCTTCCTAATCTCTCAGGGTACGTCTACGCAATGAGGAGTACCAGTTAATTCGAGATAAGCGTTTTTTTTCTCAGAGTACCGCGTCTATACATGGCAAGTTAAATTGGGCTAGTCAATTTCCAAAATGGCGACTGGGCTGTGACTATGTTAATCAAGCGTGGGATATTTAAACCCTGTGTTTCATTAGCAACTTCGATCGCCTTCATTTGCCTCCCTCGTTCGAACTAGGGGGCAAATGTAGACATATCCTCTGTTGTATTAGTGCATAGTATTAAAGCAATAAATACCCAAATTCCAATAAAACTTGGCTGAAATAATACGGATTTTACAAACCCATTAAGTTGTTTGCCCTTTGTCTTCACCTGTTTAACTCCATCAAGGCTTTAGAATAGTAGATGATCTCATAGGTATAATAGGCTGACACATTAAATAAAGTCTAACTGTGATGAAAATATTTCTTTAGACTAAAAGTTCCAATTTAATTACAAAATTGTTTACTGGACTCTTTAAAAAGGCATTTTACATTGAATGTACAAAGGATAGATTTGCTCAAAAGCTTTCAGTAGATGTATCTGACACTTAGGGTACGTCTGCACAGCAGGACTAAAGATGAAATAAACTATGCAATTTAAGCGATGCAACTGACGTAGGTCAAGTCAAAATAGCTTATTTTGGCTTTTGGCGCTATCTACACAGCAGGAAGTCCGAGAAAGAGCACTCTTCCTCCAACTTCCCTTACCCCTCACAAAATGAGGGTTATAGGAATCCGAGTAAGTAGCCCTCCCGCTTAACATTATTTTGACATTATGTCGAAATCACTGCTTGTAGTGTAGACGCGGACTGTGTTATCTAGGAATAACGTTAGTGCTGTGTAGATGTACCCTCAGAGAATTTGAAGAAATGGGTTTATCTAAGAGGAAGAATATGCATTTTCTTTCTGTACTAATGAGTCTTGAGTGTGCCAAAATATAAACCAAACTTGGAAAGCCCCCTTCTCATTTACAGGTAAAATACATTTAACCGTGTACCTTGAGACTACGTCTGCATTGCGCAAGAAGATATGCAAATGAGACGTGGTGAGTAATATTGTGGAGCCTCATTTGCATACCTAATGAGCCACTATTTTGTGCAAGGGGCTTTTGTGCAAGAGACGTTCTGCCGCTTTTTTTCAGGCAGAATGGCTCTTGCGCAAGAGGGGTTTGTTGTGCAAGAAGCAGCAGTGTAAACAAAGCCCCTTGTGCAAAATGGTGGCTCATTGGGTGTGCAAAATGGTGGCTCATTAGGTATGCAAATGAGATACGGTGATATTCATTGCCGTGGCTCATTTGCATATCTTTTTGCACAAGAATGCGCAATGTAAATGTAGCCTGAGATTTTTTTAAAATGAGGACTTCTCCCATAGCCCATCAATCCTGATAAATTGGCTATATTTCAGTAATAGTGACAGCAGATTATGGTATGACAGACACATGGGGATTATGACTTCTCTGCACACGGTCTGTGAATGAGATGGATCAAATTCAAACATCTCAATAGTGATAGGTGGGTTTATTTTTATTGCTTTAAATGTTGCTTGTTTGAATATTTTCTAGTTTCACAGCAGAGATTGTCTTTGTTATTCTAGGAAGGGGAGACACTGCTGAATTCTTTGACAGGCCAGCCTCACTTGGAAGATATACTCCTCTTTGCTATACCAATATGTGCGCCTTACACTACCATGGCAAACTACAAGTAAGTTGCAGCTATTTATCTGAAAAAGTAATGAACTAATTTGATACACTGGCAGCCCTTTGACTTAGTTACTTAATACCTGTGTAAACCGTGTCATCTTTTCTTTTGAAAGATACAAAGTGAAGCTCACTCCAGGCACGCAGAAGAAAGGAAAAGGTACTGGACACTGCATACTAGTCCTTTTCAATCCAACGGCTTTTTAAGATGACACATGCCATTTAAAATCTTCTCTCCTGTACTTTTTACAGCTGCCAAGACTGCTTTGCATAATTTCATGCATTCCAAGGAAGCTGCTGCAAGAGAAAAAGATTTATTTCGCAGTGTAAAGGTAAAGAGCCATCCCCTCGCAATGTTCAAACTGCATTACTGCTCATGCCAAACTATCTCTCATCAACCCTGTATTTAGCTGTTACTTTGAGTACGTTTCCCAGATGTGAGAGGAGCTCTGGAAAGCTAGTCTCTCTCTCCAACGGAAGTTGGACCAGTAATAGATCTCTCACACAGACCTGTCTCTCCATAAAGGCATAGACAATCGACAGATTTTTTTAAGGCCAGAACAGAACATTAAATCATCAGTCCTACACCCTCGTCACATGCCAACAGGATTTCCTCAGTTACCTGCCCAGTAACTTGTATTTGACTAAGTTTACCTTCTGGAAAGGCATCCAGTCTTGATTTGAAGTCAGCATCTCTTCCTTTCCAATAGTTAATCACTGTCAGAATTTTGTGCCGTTTTGAATTGGTCAGATTTGCAGCCATTGGTTCTTTTTCTGCCTTTCTCTGCGGCTACGTCTACACTGGCACCCTTTTCTGGAAATGCTTAAAACGGAACAGTTTTCTGTTATAAGTATTTTCGGAAAAAGCACGTCTACATTGGCAGTATGCTTTTCCGGAAAAGCACTTTTTCTGGAAAAGCGTCCGTGGTCAATGTAGACGCGCTTTTCCGGAAAAAAGCCCCAATCGGGGCTTTTTTGCAGAAAAGACTACTGTGCTGTCTACACTGGCCCTTTTCCGGAACAGTTTTTCCGGAAAAGGACTTTTGCCCGAACGGGAGCAGCATAGTTTTTCCGGAAAAACACTTACAATTTTACAGTAGATCGTCATTGCTTTTCCAGAAAAGCAAGCGGCCAGTGTAGACAGCTGGCAAGTTATTCCTGAAAAGTGGCTGCTTTTCCGGAATAAGTGGCCCAGTGTAGACACAGCCTGCTAGATTCAAGAACGCTTTAGGAGCTGGTATTTTCTGTGTCTGAAGGTATATACACCTGTAATCCAGGCACCTCTCAACCTTCTTTTTGATGATCTGCACAGATTGAGCATAGTCTCACTGTATGGCACTTGCTCCAGCCCATAGATAATTTTTAGGTGCTCCTCTAACCTGTCTTCAATATTTCCACATCCATTTTAAAATGAGATCAGAACTGTACACGGTGTTCTCAGTATTATACCCATGCCCTTCCTGCTCATGCTGCCCGGGATTGCATTGTTCCTTTTCTGACAGACTCAGCAGCCTCCTATTCTGTGTGCATGGCCTGCACTATTTATGCTTACATGTGTGACCTCACTTTTCACTGTGTTAAATTTACCAACCCATCTAACTGCCCTGTCCTCTTCGTCTACCATTCTGCACATTTTCCGTGATTTTATTTACTGCTGGTTCACTTCTAAAAATGTTGAATAATCTGGCCTCCAACCAGTGGTGGTGGAACCTTATTAGAGATGCACCCATGTGATGACTCCCTATTGGCACCTGTTTGTATTGAATGCCTCTGAACAAACTAGATATGTTCAGATACAGCTGGAGTGGTGGGTCGGTGTAAGTATGTAAAAAAAAAAAAAAAAAGTTCTGATGACCCATTGTATTCCATAGAATGGGTGGGAGGTGCAGTGTTAATGTTTTTTTTTAATAATTAAAAATGGGAAAGGAAAAGCTCTGTGCACACTGCATTTTCATCAGTCATTTACTGAAGGGTCACAGGTCCACTTACTTTGGAGACACAAGCAGAGACCTGCTGTAATATAAAGCGGTTATCACTGAATCAAACAGCATTACTACTTCACTGCTGGTATTCAGAGAGGACATGGGAGGCCTGGAAGGAGTGATTGTTGAACACTTCCACGTTGCCTGATTTGGATCCTTTATTTTGTTTTATAGGACACTGATTTATCAAGAAATATTCCTGGTAAAGTGAAAGTATCGGCACCTAATCTCCTGAACATGAAAAAGAAGTGAGTGTTGCTCATAGATCACAAATAAGTGTTTGAACTGTCAGTGCTGCTTCAGAAGAGGACAGTGACAAACCTACCATCTGGACCTTCCAATTTTGCTAGTAAAGTAAAACAGCTATAATTGGACAGATTTTAAGAGGCAAAGATGGACTGTTCGCTGCATCTGACCCTTGCCTGGGTCTTCTTGCATGGACGTTAAATTGCATGTGATTCATCTAATGTGCAAAAGTAAAGTACTACTGGCCTTAGGTGTGAAAGGCAAGACTGATTTTGTACTGATCCTCTTTCTAATGTTGTAAGGACTGGCACAACCCCAGTCTAATCTCTTATTTCAAATGTAATTTTTTCCTTTCCTAGATGTTTCTGTACAAATCCATGCTCTATCAAATGCTGTAGCAAACCTGGCTGCTTGTTCTTTCCACTTTCCTTTGGCAAAGGAAGGGATTTAACATCCTACCCTGTTTGGAACCTGCTTTCCAGTCAGGATATTGACTGTATTAATCTGCTCCCACTTATCATATTTTGTAAGCTATCATAAGAAAAGTCCTAGTTGTCAGCTGTAGTCACTTACTGGCATGGGAGCACCCGAAGTTGGTGACAATGCGGGATAGTATGCCTTGCCTATAGTATGTAGATTTTGTATTTGGACTGGCATGTACTATACCTGTAAGCAAAGGCCACAGTGAAATAGATGAGCTGTTGCTTAAAAAACCCACCATGCTAAGAAAATGCACCAATATTATTCACCTCCAAGGAGAGAATATAAATGTATTTGACGTACAGTAAGAATACTGCCAAAGTTACCCCCTCCCCCCCAAACAACTGTTAGATGGCTTTAGCCTAGGGCTGGGTAATAGTTTTTTGATGGGAGGGGCTCTTCAAGAATTTGGTAAGTGCCACCCTCTAGATTAAGGGAAGAGGTTGGGGTGTGGTGGCTCTTTGCCAGGGTCCCTGCCTGCCACAGCTCTGTATGTGCTCTCAGTAGCTACAGTGGCCAGCTTTACAGATCTGAACATTGAGCCCTGGGGCTGTCTCAGAGGCACCTGCTAGGAGTCAAACTGGCCAATGGAAGCTACGGGGGTCAAGGGCAGCATCAGAAGCCTGTCTCCCTTCTCTGGGCTTGCAGTGTTCAGAGGCAGAAAAGCCAGCTGGGGAGCCACGTCTGAGTGCTAAACAAGGGCAGGCAGGGAGCTGGCTGAGGGTCATATTTTGCCCAGCCTTGCTTCAGACTGTAGCATTAGCATATCCTGAACACGTTTACACAGTTTAGAATTATGAAACAGTAAGTGGAGTGCTGGCATTGCTTTGTTTCAGTATTTAAATCACAAGCCCTTTATTAGTTTCTCAGCCCTTTTCTGCATCAGTGGTGTTCTGTGGCTGCTGATTCCTAGGAGACACTGAACACAAAGAAGGCAGAAGGTTCCTAAAGTGCTGGGCTGCTGTTCACATACAATCCATTTGCATTAAAACTAGTGAGGCTAAACAGAGCTGAGCCACTGTTAGGCATGAGATTCACAGCACTGCTGAGGCTCTGACTTGCATTTCCTTCAGCAGCTTCTGTAGCACGTGAACAATCGAGCTGCTTTGGGCTACTCCTAGGTATGCACAGTCCAGTTTGACACTTTACTGACTAAAGCATTCTCACTCACTCAAGATAAAATACAATGTCTACTTAATGCTCCTAGGTACAGTTCTTAATCCCACATCATGACACAGTCACCATCCCTCTGCATTTGCTTTTAAACAAATGAAGGTTCAGAACTTTTAGAAAGTTTTAAATTAACTATGCCCAGCACTAAATAAGAGTTTTAAACACGTGTTGCGAAACTTGTCTTATTTCTATCAGTGAGATGCTAACAGACTAAAACTACTCTATCATGTGATGAAACAATGTAAAGTCATTCTTTAACAGACTAAAACTACTCTATCATGTGAAACAATGTAAAGTCATTCTGTAATATTAATGGTGTCCCAAAGATCATTAGTAGCAGAAGTATATTTCAAGCATTTACCAACTTTAAGGCCCAGAAATTTAGTAACTACTCACAAATCCTCAAATAGTAACCCCATGAGCAGTGTTTCCCTGCACTGACACACTAACGTAATTTAGGATACCGTCGTTTTCCTATCACATAACGAAGTAGGTGGCATTAAGTTAGGCACAGTACGACACATTTAACTTAGCTTAAGCTCAGATACAGTTCAACTTGCATTAAATACATTTATTGCAAACATTTTTACACAAAAATAGGTTCTCTCTAAGCCATTCACATGCAACGTACAACCAACAAGCTACTAATAACAATAATGCAGATATTGATGCAAGTGTCTCAGCTGCCACACGTGATAAGTAAAATTATTACATCTTTTAGAATCGCTCTTCCATGCACAGATTGTTTGCAGAAGTCTTAAGAGCCAGAGGTATTGTTACTTCCAAACCGCTGATTGACACTGTGAAGCAAGTGCTTTGGGAGGCAGTTCCATGAGCTGGCTAACATTTCTTTGAAGCAAATGACTGCTTCTAGGCACAGCCTTGGGAGGAAAAAAGAATGTTCCAGTTACTATTAAAAACATAAGTGAAATAAGTCACAGGTAAGAATTCTGTTTCTAAAAGTGGTTTAGTTGAGTTGTTTCTCCCAAAGTATTAGCTGTTTTCATTGACAAAGTATCATGAAGTCTTTACACACAAGTCTGAAGAATGCTTTCCATTACTGATTACTACTTCAGCTTTCCTGGGGGAAATATTATCTCAGTCACCCAAGTAGGCCTAGAAACCAGGGTCTGGACTTAAAGCATATGTACTAGAAGTACAAGCTATTAGTAAGTGAGAAGGGAAGAGTAAAGGTGTAAGATTCAAAAGTGTGTTGTTTTTACCTTACAAGAGATTTTGGTTGCAGAGAAAACACAAGAATCTCATTACTATGAGCCTGGAAAGAGAGATGTTAATTAATATTTGAAGCCTTATGATTAAATGCAATTATAAGTTCATTCCTTAAAAAGCAGCAAACATTTCTCCTTTAAACAGTAAAGCTTTCCCGTGGCTTTGCAAGTCTGAGGCCTTATCTACACTGATATTTTGTTGCCAAAAATTGCTTCTGGGTGACAAAACAGTGACGCTACGTCTAGACTGGCATGATTTTTCGCAAATGCTTTCCACAGAAAAGTTTTCCATTAAAAGCATTTGCAGAAAAGAGCGTCTAGATTGGCACGGACACTTTTCCGCAAAAGCACTTTTCGCGGAAACACTTCCTTGCAAATCTAGACGCGCTTTTGCGCAAAAAAGCCCCAATTGCCATTTTTGCGATTGGGGCTTTTCTGCGCAAAACAAATCTGAGCTGTCTACACTGGCCCTTTTGCGCAAAAGGACTTTTGCCCGAACAGGAGCAGCATAGTATTTCCGCAAGAAGCTCTGATTTCAGACAGTAGGAAGTGAGTGTTCTTGCGGAAATTCAAGCGGCCAGTGTAGACAGCTGGCAAGTTTTTCCGCAAAAGCAGCTGCTTTTGTGGAAAAACTGGCCAGTCTAGACACGGCCTGAGGCTACATCTACACTGCAGGCTTCTTGCGCAAGAACAGCCATTCTTGCACAAAAACTTGCAGAGCATCCACACTGCACATGCGTTCTTGCGCAAATAAATTTACAGTAAAGCATCAGAAAACAGGGCTCTTGTGCAAGAGTTATTCCTCTCCCCATGGGGAATAAGCCCTCTTGCGTAAGAGCTCTTCCACAACAACGCCCTATGGCTAAAATGGCCATCAGAGCTTTCTCACGCAAGAGTGTGTCCATACTGCCATGGATACTCTTGCACAAAAGCACATGGCAGTGTGGACACGCTCTTGAGCAAGAATTTTTGCACAAGAACTCTTGCACAAAACAGTTCTTGTACAAGAAGCCTGCAGGGTAGACATAGCCTGAGTGTTTACAATGCAACACAACTTTTGTTGGGGGAAAACACAGTTTTTAGCAACAAACTTCTACTCCTGCAAGAAACTTTTCTTCTCTTCCCTTCCCTTTGTTGATAAAGCCAATGTGGCCTCAGTTTTGTAAAGAGAACTGGCTTCTGCCAGTATCCCACAATGCCTGTCCTGATGGCAGTGCTTAGTGTTTTGCGATCTCTGCTGCTCTGCAGGCACATGCCCCCTCACTTTTCAAAGCTCCAGGAAGTGTACCTGACAGCTGAGTGACCTGCTCTGTTTAGGGAACAAACAAAGAACAAATTATTGGAGTGCTCCTGTTCTGCCCTGCTAGCAATACAGCAGGAAGACTGTCCTGCTTTGGCATTCCTCAGCATGGGGAGCTCACAGAGCTATGAGGGAATCCCAAGAAGCGCAGGGATCAGCACTGCCAGATGCTCATCCACATTGCTTTGCTAGCACCCTATCAACAGATAGAGCAACGTGGGCACGAAGTGTTGACAACAAGGAGGCAGAAAAACCAGTTTGAGTGGTTTTCACTTTTGGCAACTTTTGCATGGCAACGGCACTTTTGTTGCCAACCCTTCCCTATGTAGATAGCCTTAGTCACAGAGAAGGACATTCACAGTTGGAGGTTGAAGTGAGATGCAGAGGGGAGAGGGTGTCTCATTTTGTGTTTATTCACAGCAGCACTACAGGTTGAACCTCTCTGGTCCAGCATGATTTATTACCCTAATATCCACTTATTGGTGTGACCAAGTTTCCCACAATTCCATAAAGTTTGTTTATAGCCACCAGTCCTGGCTCTGTGCTATTATAGAATGCTGTTATTTAGCTCTAATTTACCCCTAAATGTTTTCTAAGAGTCCAGGAGGAAGTGAAGTGTTGGTAATACTGCTGGATAATATTGACCTCCCATAGTCCAAAGAATTATCTAGTTCGGTACTGGGCAGGTCCCACGACTACTGGCCTAAAGAGGTTCAACCTGTAGACGGTACATAGTATAAGTGACGTTCTTAGAGATACACTTACTGCTTTGTGGTGGGCAAGCAAGTTGTTGGCACATCCACCAAAAACAATCACCTCTCCTTCTTCACTTGCACAAGCGGTATGCCACAGCCTGTAAAATGAATAAGACATACATTTATGAGGTACGAAGAGAAAGAGTCCAAGTGCAACACTGATGCATTACAGAGGAGTACTGTGAAATAAGGAATACTATTAACATGCAAGCTTGATGCAAACGGATTAGCTTCAGCATGTAGTAAGTTCTAGCAAAAGTAAACCATGAGCTCTGGGTCAGAAATTCTTTATATTCAAACTACATTACAGATATCCACTTCGTAAGTTGTGTGGATGGGAAAGCAAAGTGGGGCTTGAGTGGTTCTATAGTCTGAGGCCAGGCCCTCAAATTTCACCTTCTGAAGTTAAACTAAAATTCATGGTAATCCTAGTTGTGATAGCTGAAGGGTTTGTGAAGAAATAGCGGAGAACTTTTTTTACATCAAAGAAATTGAGAGCCTTCCAGTTTGAGCAATGAAGGAGCCAGTTAAAGTAAGATGATCCAAACCATGAGACAAGGCAAACCCTCACCATCCACCCTATCACAGTCCACCAGCTGTCTAACTCATTACCAGTACACCACACGTTAGTTGCATTACAGTACTTAAGTCAAGTTTCACTGTTTTTCTCAAACATCTGATTATTTACATTTCAGCATAACTATTTCAGTCAGATCCCTGCAGGAATATCAGTTGTAAGAAGGGTGCTTGGGGTAGGATAAAGGTTAGCACTAGTAGATTACTACAATCTGATTACAGAATTTCGCACAGCAAGAAGAGAGTACTTGCCCATAATTGTCTTTTCTGAAAAATTAGCCTAAGTTAACTAGCAATAGTACGCTCAGGGCTCACCAACACCACATAATATGATACTGAATCAGACTAGTGGCTCATTCAGTCTGGGATCTTGCAGTTGTGGTCAGTGCTAGACACTTTGGTAAAAGGTACAAGTAGAGCCATAATAAGCAGGTTATCCTATAACTGTCCCTCAGTTGATGGGTGGCTCACTTATGCCCAGAAGCATTGAGGTGCCAGGCCAACTTATGCAAAGAGTGTTTCCTTCTCTAAGTTTGAATAAAACTGAAAGGTAACAATGTCCCTCTGTTTATAGTACGATAAAGTGTAAGAGTGCCCCTATGTCTTCTTTGTATTGTTATCTTAGGGTATGTCTACACTACCCTCCTAATTCGAAATAGGAGGGTAATGTAGGCATACCGCAATTGCAAATGAAGCCCGGGATTTGAATTTCCCGGGCTTCATTTGCATAAAGCCATCCGGCGCCATTTTTAAATGCCGGCAGTTCGAACCCCGTGCCGCGCGGCTACACGCGGCACGGAGTAGCTAGTTCGGATTAGGCTTCCTAATCCGAACTAGCTGTACTCCTC